TTTTTTTTTTTCTTTGATATGTCTGCATTTCCAGCTGTAGAATAGAGGTGGGGAGGAGGGGAAGTAAATAATAACTCTTAAAATTTGTAATTTTTCATGAGAAGAGTTTCCAAAACATTAAGTATAGTAGTACTAAAATAGAGTTAATTAATCAGAGTTAAATCATAAATAGAGCAGACTCTTTAGAAAAATGTTTTCAATTTTTATGTAATAATTTATTTTTGTGAAGGATATGGGCACTGTGGTCCTTGGGAAGCTGGAGTCAGGCTCTATTTGCAAAGGACAACAGCTTGTGATGATGCCAAACAAGGTATGGTAAGGTTTAGATATTAAAAAATGTTACTACCCTAAAAAAGAGCTTTATTCTTAAAGATATTAATTACTCTAAATCAGAAAATTTTCTGTTGCTCAGTTGAACATAACTAAACTGTCATGTTTTATATGGGTGATGTTTCCAGGTGCATGTGTGTATAGTTTACTTCCTTAGCATTTAGAACTCGGGTTCTCTCTGTAGTAAACTCAATTGCTGGGTCACAAATCATCATAGTTTATTTGAATAGTGTTTTACTTTGCATTTGTAGTGTTGGCCCACAAAATCTTTTTTCCTGCTGTGTGTTATTATTGCTCAAAACTTTCCTTCTTTCTTTTTTTTTTTTTTTTTTTTAATTTCCCTTCTCCAAAGGGAAATAGGAAAAAATTTAAAGGATGCAAACAGCACACAGTGTATTCCAATGAAAGACCTAAAGTTTGCTTTAGTTAGGAATAGGTTGTTTGTGCAGGTAGGCAGCTGTTCCATAGTGTGAGATCACTATTTGAAATATTGTGCTGCCCTGAAGAATGTAAAAATATAAAAATGAAGGATGTGAAAACATAGTTGGAGAGACACAGCGGATGAGAATAGTGTACTCAATGAATCATGATGTTTGTTTCCTTTGATTTCTTACAAAAAGGGTTTGGAAATTTTGTTCTTATCTATTGGGTCATCTTGATTTAAGCTGACACACTTTTTCCAATTCCGTAGGCTGAGGTAGTTTGCTAGAAAATGTCTCCATACTCAAATGTACAATAAATCTACAGCTTACTGAAAGTGGTATTTCCTAATAAAGTTATGTTAATTAGATTGACTTCAACATCACCTTCCTCAAGAGCTGATGAAAGTTCAAACTAAACTTGGACAGTTTCAGGTCATGCTTTTCAGTTTTTAAGGTAGTTTGACAGTGGCTTTTCATAAAACTGCTTCTCACACATCTGACACCCATGTTATTTTGGGGTTGATTAGAAGAAATTAATAAACTGTAAATGGCTTTTAACTAAACCAGTACAGAATTTGTAGTCAGTAAATAGCCAGTGCTTTTGATGACACAGTTTTTTTTATTACTTTGGCAGCTTATGAGGATTGAACTAAAACTTCAGGAAGTCAGAGCAATAAACCTCTTTCTGAAACTACTCCTTTTTTAACTTCTCTGCCTTTCCAATATTTATTTTCTGTTGGTATCTAGTACTGTGTAAAGATATAAAAATCAGAAGAGAAGTTACAATGTGTAGGAACATGAAGAACTACACTTTGGTGTTTGCTTGGAGAGCATTCATTAACATACATTTGGCATTTTTATCTTCTCCAGGATGTTCAGGCTGTTGTATTTTGAATGTAACAAGCCTATACAACAATGTGGCTTTTGCATTCTTCTTAGATAATATGCTTCTGTTGTATCTCTCATCGTTTTATAAGTTGTAAACTTATTTCACTTTGAGAAATAGTGGATATTTTTGAAATTTGCCTTCCATTGAATATACATTATAGAATTATATTAAAATATATTTTATTAAATATGCTCTTTTAAATGTTAGTAATTCATCATTCAGATATTTGAAATGTTCTGAAGCTTGCAGAACTGAATATAATTAATTTAAACTTATTTAAATTATTTATTGAAATCCTGTCGTATTAAAATACAATATTCACAATAGAAAACTTCATTTTTGCTTTCTTTAAGCACAATGTGGAAGTTCTTGGAATCCTTTCTGATGATGTAGAAACTGATTCAGTAGCCCCAGGTGAAAATCTAAAGATCAGACTGAAGGGAATTGAAGAGGAAGAGATCCTTCCAGGATTTATCCTCTGTGATCCCAACAACCTATGTCATTCTGGACGCACGTTTGATGCCCAGGTAGAATAAGTAGCATTTAATTGCTGTATAGGTGGGTAAAAAGCATTACAATATTTTGCTTGTGTTTCACCAAATCTAAACTTCAGTAGTTTGAAGTTCCAGTTCAAATTTCTTATTCACTATCGTATCTCTGAATTGACAATAACATGTATATCTTACACTCTGACATCATTAATTCGAGTTTTTAAAATATCTATGATTTGCTTTGAATGTAACTTCTAAATGAAGTTTTAGACACCTATAATTGTGAAAGCAAGATCTTGTCAGGCTAGTTCTTCAATTTTATACTTCCATATTATGAACAGCTTAGCTGCTTATAATTTTTTTCTTTCACACACATTTCTTGTGTGCATATTGTTCAACTATACATTTTAACATAGTTCTGTATTTGGTTATTCTCTGCTCTTTTATAATTGAAATGAGGAAAAATGCATTTATTTTTAATTGTTTTACAGATAGTGATAATTGAGCACAAATCCATTATCTGCCCAGGTTATAATGCTGTGCTGCACATCCACACCTGTATTGAAGAAGTTGAGATAACAGTAAGTGTGCTTTTAAGTGATGATGTGAATATAGACAATCCACTCGTTGAGGTGATGAGTTCTGTCATGACATATATCTGTAGAGCAGCCGATGTAACAAAGCTCCAGCCTTGAATGGAATCTTTGGTCAGTACCTAACACAGCCAAAAGGGCTGTAACTGTTGGCATAAGCCTTCTGGAAGGTGTGGCAAGTCACGATTGACTCTCTTATGCAGTAAATCTTGGAAAGTTTTTTTTATTATTTTTTCTAAGTATTTTCCATCTTGGGGCACTTCAGTTTTGTTGATGAAGAAAAAATAACCCTTATTTTAGCACTCACAGGTATTAATTGTTTTTCTTACACAGGCCTTAATCTGCTTGGTAGACAAAAAAACAGGAGAAAAAAGTAAGACACGGCCCCGTTTTGTAAAACAAGATCAAGTATGCATTGCCCGTTTAAGGACAGCAGGAACTATCTGCCTTGAGACATTCAAAGATTTCCCTCAGATGGGTCGCTTTACCTTAAGAGATGAGGGTAAGACTGCTTGATCAACAGTTATTAACTGCTGCAAAAATACAGTTATTTGAAATAGATCATGCATGGCAATGAGATATTAAAATGCTGGTATCTAGTGGAAATCACTATCTGAATAACAATGGAAAAGTAAATCTAAGCAAATTGTTGTCATTGTGCAGAGTTCTTGCTAGTACCAAAAAGTGTGTTTTATTTTAGAGGAATAATATACAGAAATGTGCACTGTGAAACAAAAGGTTGACTTTGAAAAATTACCAGCACTGTTTTCTTAATGCATCCTGGAATGTCCACCTCCAATATGAATACCATAGTTTCTGTATTTAAATTAGAAAATATAAGGGGGGGTGTATATTGGGCTTTAAATCATGCTCATCCCAGTAAAACCTGTACATTTGTGGACATATTTAAAATAAATTATCTTTAAAAGCAGTAAACAGATCTGGTAGAATTATTCTGACTTGCTTTTTCCTTAGATGAATATAGAGCAGGCTTTCTGCAGTCCACATTTCTTTACTGTGAGACTAGCAGTTTTACTATTTTTAAGATTTTTTTATTGTGCTTTTACAATACAGTGGTGCTTTCACTCTACAACAGTTTATTCTCTGTATTATTTCTAATACTGTGGAGAGCCTGTATCTTTGGGGAAAGTTGTCATGTTCTTAGGGGCTTGTACATTCTTTTCACTATATATGTAACTCTGTTGTTTATCTCCTTGGTTTAGGTAAGACCATTGCAATTGGAAAAGTTCTGAAACTGGTTCCAGAGAAGGACTAAGCATTTTTCTCAATGACCCCCGCACAATACTGTGAGGAAAATCGACTCTGCAAAAGCCTACTTCACACCGCCTTCTTATTTTCTGCCCATTGATAAACTTCTCCCCATATTTTGCAAAGACAAATTTCACAGCAAAGGTCCACATTATGTCAGCTTTCTCATATTGAGAGCTCTGCTATGCCACTGTTGAATTTTCCCAAAAAGAATTTTTTTTTTCTCCCAAATTCTGCTTCCTTGGAAAGATTTGGCAATAGCTTTGTAAGTGATGTGGACGTAATTGCCTATAATTATGAAAATCTAAAGGATTTTTAATGTTTAATTTCCCCCAGCATATATATTAAGACCTCTTTTTTCCAGGCAGATCATTCAGAGTGTGCGAGTGTGTGTGCACATGTTACAAAGACGACTACCATGTTAATAAACTATTCAATTTGAAATCTTTTTCGGTATTTGAATTGCTTTTGAATAATGTTTTTTATCCGGATGTAACACAGTTGCATTAGCTTTTTAACTTGCCAGTAACCTAGATATTTGGTTACTTGACTTTTCTAAACTCCTCAGCCTCCCCACACACACAGTTTTAAATGAGGCAATTGGGCACTCAACCAAGTTTGTATTAAAATAATTAGGTTTGCCCCTTCCCTTTGTTGAATGCATTCTTGAAATTACAAAATATTCATGCAAATGTGGCACCTTCATTAGCTTTACATTTGTTAATATCTTCAGCAAATTTAGGTTGACTTATCATTACTAGACACAGTAAGTCAATTTTGAAGGCTAGAACTACATATTGTGTCTTTATAAAAATTCAGCATTATTAAATTCTTAACTGCAGAAAATGCTAACAACCGGTAAATCAGTGAAACTTGCAAAAATAAGAGAATTTGTGGCGATAGTGCCTATTAGTATTTATAAGAGCTGCATTTTGTGGGAGAACTGGGCCAATTAAAAAGTGCCAGTTATGTAAGTTACTCAGTTCACCCTGTCTTTAATTTAGAAGGCTGGATAATCCTTGCTGTTTTAAAGATCAGTCTGAACTGAGAGGGGAAAGACTATTTAAATCCCTAAGAGTTTGCACACACTGAAATATGGGAGGGTCAGAATCAAGCACAGTCTGTAAATTTTTGCATATCAAAAAGCAGTGTAAGCTTATGAGGACCAGTGAAGTTTTTCTTGAGAAATTAACGCAAAACTGGTTCAAAATAAAGCTTACTCAGTACAACTTGAAGGAGCTGCATAATAAAACCCTATTTAGCTGCACTTTGAAAATGGACTGTCTACAATTGCTATCCTGATTCTAACAATTAGGATGAAAGCTAACGGATTTTTTTTTCTCCCAGAGAATTAAGTATTAAAAGGTATCTGCAGAGCTTCTTCAGAATGTCTTAAACATTTTCAGTTGTACAATTGTGGCGAGCCCATCTTCTCCCCCAAAAGTTTACAGTCTAGTGACTATCTGAATTCACAGATAACTCAAAACTGAAACAGACTTACCTTTTTTGGGGTTTTTTTGGTTTTGTTTGTTTCTTTGTAACTGTGGAACTCCCATTCATTTCACTTACAGCTACATTGTATGGACAGAAGAAGTTATTGTCCTTCAGTTTCATATGACTACACTTGTAGCTACAGTAATGCATGGAATTTAAATAAATTTTATTATGTCTGCAAATCTCTGGGCTTTTATTTTTTTGGTAAATCAGAGTTTAAAAGTAACTTTTTTTTTTTCTTTACCAAGTGAACAAAACACACAGTTCCTTGGATCTTAAACTAATTAATAAATTTGAAGCCAAGGAAACTTACTGTCTTGTTCATTTTCTGGATTAAGATTTCCACATCTCTGACTGCTTTCTTGAAGTAAGCTCATGGATTTGAAATTTGCAAAGACCACTCTTGGAGAATACTTACAATTAGATTCCTAAATTGTTAAAACTTTTTAAAACTTTTTTTTAAAGTACTGAAATGCATCTCAGGACTACGTGCTACTCCAACAGAATTTTTCCACTTTCAAGCAAACTTAATGAGGGATTCTAAAACTTCATTATTTCGAGGATGGACTGAATATTTATTATTAAACTGAAAAATCATCTAGTGGGTTGAAATACAAGTAGATAGAAAGTCTGAGCATTTCTGTTACTCATCCCATCTAGTGCATTTGATTGCCATCACCATAAATCCAGTTAACATCACCCTGTCCCAGAGTCTACATTACACAGTTAAAGATATTGCTAGCCTGTAGGAGGTTTTTATTTGGGTATTAAATATTTGCATTCTGTAACAAACATACTGATATGAAAATGTAAGGCATAAATCTATACAAATTGGCTGCATTTTCAGTAGAAGAGCTGAAAGTACATTATATTTGAATAGTCTTCAGATTACATCTCAACTTTTTAATTTCATCTCCATTCTACATTTTATAGTCCCATTTTTACTACTATTGAGTACAGTTAAATTTAGATGAAAGAAGAAAAAAAGATAATGTGGCTTTGTTTGAAATAAATACTATTTGCTGATTCACTGATGTAATAAAACTTTTTTAAATGACCATTTTGAATACTTCCTTTTGTGAAAATGTGGTATGCTGCTTTGAAGATGAAAAAAATAAAGGAGCTATGCAACCACAACAGTTGAAAGGAAGGGGAAAAACAAAAAGGGGGGTGGGGGGAGGGAATAGAAGTTATATTGAAGCTGGAGGAACCCTAGGAACATCGCCAGTGTAACTGTGCTAGCGTATGATACTGGCAGAGTATTGCTGGGTCCTGATGTGGATGTAGCTCACACCAGCAAAACTGAGTGGGTTTCTGCAGAAAGGAGAGATTTGGGTTTCCCCCCAGTGTAGTGGCACTTACAGCAGTCTGTGTGCAGTGTGGTACCCATGAGGATCACACCTATTCTCCCCGATTGCTGGCCAGAGTTTGTAGTGTAGATTGGCTTAAGTGTACAGCCACGATGTAACTTATAAAAACATAAATTATAATTATATAAATTAAGACCTTGTATGTCCTTGAAGTGAAAGACTTGGTATGTGTAACAATGACTAAATGTAAAAAAAAAAAAAAATAATCTGAATGTGCAGCAGTAATAATTATTTTGCAACAGGAAAATAATTCCTTGTTTCTGCAAGTTACAAGAAGTAAAGCACACTAAACGGAGGAATGGGTACACAGGTGACTAACATTGCCATCAACTACCTACTTTAAACCATTCCAGCTACCTTGGTCATCTTTGCAATCAGGAACTGATGCACAAACATGATGGCACCAGTTTCCTGAGACACTTACTCTGGTAGTAAACTGTATTATTGAACAACAAGCTATTGATGATGGTGTAATAGTGTTGTAAGAAAAATGGCTGCTTTAAGGAGGTTTATCCACGGGGATGTTTGCTGATTATGAATTTCATGCCCCTCTACAGATTTCTTTTTGGTGGCATAAAAAGCCCAGCAAAAATTGCTCAATGAAGAACCTCTGGTTTAGACAACTTACGGCACCAGTCCATATATTAAAACTATGTTAATGATGAGAAATGTGTTTTTATAAGTGTTTATTACTGGATATTACCTAAGAAAAAAAGATTGTTTCAATGTCCCAAGTATTTGATTCTGTATTACTCTGGCTTTTTGGTTCTTAATGCAGACTGTTTAAATGATGATGTTAAAGCAGATGAAATGTACTCCAGACAAGACTGGTTTCTTCCTGAACTGATACTTAAAGGCTCTTACTTATTCTGCTGTTTTTGTATACGCTATAGGATTTGGTAAAGAAAAATATACCAACCAAACTGGAGTTATTACTGAAGATTTTATATTGTGAACCTGTTTATTTCCTTGTGTTTATTTTAACACACCATAAACCTGACAAAATATTTCTTTTCCTCTAGGAAAAGAGGATGCTAGAAAGAAGTCTAGTCTAGACTTTTCCCATAAAATGGGAATTTATGCTAACATACCCAAAATCTGTTGTGTGTATATATAACTTTTAACAATTCATATCTTTCATTGGCTTTGCTTTCCAAGAAGTCTCAACTTCCAATGTGAATTGGATTTTTCTCCATCTCCTCTCAGTTACATACACCTAAAAAAGTTCATATATTTCTGAGTAAGAGTACTAAGAAGTATGACTAACTGTTGGGTGGAAAAGGGTACTTGAAGCTGGGTTCTTGTCATCTGTTAAGCCTGTAGAACTGATGACAGGCAAAGGATTGTAACAAGAAAACTTTGCAGCTTGTGTCACAAAGACAGGTGCCTCTGTTCTTCTGAGAAAGTAGTCTTTGGATAAGTGAATAACTTGCCCTGTAAGTATCCATCTGTCTGACAGTTAATTAGATTATAGCTAAAGGCTTACACCAAGATTGCAAAGGAACACAATCTAAAGAAAACTAGTGCTTGAGCTCCAGATCTAGCAGGGAGATTCTCTTCTGAGGTCTTTTTTTGTAGTGGCTTATTACTCCTAATTTCTGTATATTCTTTGCGCTGCTTTTGTTGCAAGAAGTGCCCTTAGAGAGACCTGGGATTTTGACATCTGCCATCTAATAATCTGGAGGAACACAAGCCTGAACTGGAACTTCCAGGATGCCCACTAAGGGAATAATCTTAAATCTCAAAGACCTGTTTCCAGCAGGTCTTCTACATCCCCTTTGCTAGGAGAAAGTGTAAAATTAGGAATATATAGAAGCATTTTCTTAAATAAGTAATGAGGTGGAATGGCTTGCAATTGTGTCATTTTAAATCTTAGTATTTAAATAAGTGTGACAAATGGCTCAGGGAAAAATACATACCTCCATAATCGGACAGAGTTAAATTGAGGGCTACAGTAGAATGTTTAGTGTACAGCGATAACACCGATGAAAGTAACAAACCTAATTCCCCTTGTAAGAGTAACTATTAAATTTGTGAATTTGCTAAATTAAAAACACACTCTTCATTGTTTATATTCATTGCATGCTGTATTAAGCAGAAATATTTCTTATCCAGAGATTAACTTACTTTTCCAAGACAGCCCTATTAGCTATGTCAAGCACCTTTCAAGAGAAAATGATCATACTAAGTCAGTTAAACCACATCTAGTAAAATTTAGTCACATCAAATTTAAATGTTGCAGAAAAATGTACTTGGATGAGACTGATACATGAAAAATTAGAATTTGAGTCACTAATAATAGTCCCTTCCTTTTAATGCCATGCTGACCCGGTACAGTGAGGCATCAATCGCACTGTGCAATCACACCTTACAGGATTAGCCTGCCTTATTTTCAGGAAGATGTCCCAGTCATCTGACTGTTTCCCTTTTGTTTTAACACGTCACAATAATTTGTTGTTGTTTTATTAAAACATGGCTGCTTTAAAATATGCAAAGCCTATGCAGAGATAAGAGCAAGGCTAATACGATTATCAGATTATAAAACACCACAGCTAGTATTGTATGTGTAAATTCTACCAGTGCTGAAACGATTTTAATGAGTCTGCCCTATCTGGCTACTCGGGATGTTCCTAGCCTTTTAGTAATTTCTCTAATCAATACTTCATATGACTACATGGTAACAAAGGATAGCTTTTCTTAGCCAGTTTCATTTATTCAGTTCATTTGTACAAATCATACAACAGAAAATTAAAGCTTCCAATTTCCAGGATTTTTTCCTCACTGTAAATCTGGAGAAGTCTTGAAGCCATAAACTATTCTACTGTTGCTTCATTAACACGACCAGCAGAAAGAAAATATAAATCATTACATAAAGCAGCTTGTCAAGAGACTAGGGTATTTAATTCCTTTCTCTTTGTACTGGCACACTGATGGAGCGACAAATTTTGTTGGAAGATATGTGACGAGAAGGAATAAAGCCATAACTAGAAAGGCAAAGGGAAGGAAAAAAATCTAGAGAAGAAAGTGAATGACTAAGACTCCTAATTTCCTATGTATTTAACCCCTGGTTATGGGTAGTTGCGTTATCCAGGTAGCAGCTTACCTGTGTGATGACTGCAGACAGCCCAAAGCTGCCAGGGTGCACACAGCACTGGGAGAATGAGGACAAAATAGTTCCAGGCTAGATTTGATCTCAAAACAGCGTGTTATCCAGTATGGAACTGGATGGAACAAGCATCCTACAATTAAGCTACTTCCATGTAGCCAGTCAATGCATTTCTAAACTGAAATGGACATGCAGCAGTTCTGCCTTCACTTCACACATAAGGAAGAAATGCTTTGGAATGTGATAATCAGTGGTAGCCTCAACTGGAGCGACCTGGAAATAGCGGAGTTGAAGATGCTGAGAGGTGTGTGAGGAAGATGAGTAGCAGAGTGCAGCCCCTGGACTTCAGGGGAAAGTGGCTTATTCAGAGA